TGATTGATCATTGTTATCTATCACTAAATGGAATTTTTAGGAACCGTGGACGCTATGAAAATAGTTGTCACGTGGGCTTTCTCAGCCGACCATTGAGACTTGACACCTATGTAAAACACCTGAAACAATCCAAGCGATCAGTTGAGAAACGAGCACGGGTTATAATATCCCGAAACGATATATATCTTTTAAAATATTTGATTGTTACTGAGACACGTGACATCGAATAAGTTTCTTTGTACAGCTGCAGACGAGTGGGATATTGTTCCTTTGTGTGGATATTCACGGATACATTCCTCGAACAAGGAAGCTGCCTAAAACTTATACACATAAATTTGGTAGGTTGTAATTATGATATCTGCATTTTGTTTTCCTTCATTTGAACCGATTCGTTCTTGTTTCTCTACGTCTTGGTTGGGAAATTCTTTAATGCGCGATAGACGTTGTTGTCACAGGTCTTTTCCTTTGTAAGCGTGTATATATTACCGTCAATTTGTAAAATGTGATTCTCTCAGGCAATTTATAAAATGTGTAAATATTTCAGTCATTTTGACTAAAAAAACTGTCCAGATTGATTAAGACGATCAAAAGGGCCTACAAACATCACAACAGATTATTATGTAGGATTAAAAGCCAAACAACTTAGAAATGTACTTTTCAACGTTACATTTTCAGTCTCTTGGTGATGACATTAAACATCAAAATGTTTGGAATTCGTTGTCATAATAATACAGATGGAAATGTTTTTCAGTCACTTTGTAAAATAACTGAATATTTAGACGTTTAATAAATTTGTTACACATTTGACAGTAAAAAAATATACACACTATAAAAAAAGCATATGCTCAGGTGAAATATATACTTTGTGTTGCAAGTCAAAATAGAGAAACGAAAATCGCAAAATTACCAAGCAAGTGACTTATCAAAACTTCGTCACCATTACCGATGCTACTCACAAAGATACCTACATTTCCTTATTATCTCGAAAACTGTATTTCATTTTGTTGATCACTGTGACCATACGCCCTTATTACTACCCATAACGTGACTAATGCGCTTACGAATGGCGCAGCAGAGGTCGCGAACTAGTCTAGATTTCTGCTATACATCCGGGTATTCACTGGGAAAAAACAATAACAAAGGCAACAACCAGTCCCGGGGAATTGCGTTAGATCAGTGCCCCTTTAACCAACGTGTCTGCTTTATACTCGATGATCAGTGACATTATTAAAAGGTATTTACATAGATATAGAGTACTTTCCTACAAATATAAACGCTATGCCGTCAGATTGAAATTTGTATCGCGATAGCTAGAAGTATTTGATACGTTTCAAATCTTATTTCGTTTAACGATTGCTCTTTTACATATTACCTCGATCAGCGACGTTTACACACAGCTCCACTTTCTGGTTTTCAAGGGAATTACTCCGAAATACTTAATTATGTTGCACGTTTTTGGTTGGTGATAGTTCAGTTATGTCATGTGTGTATGTTGCATCAATAATATGTAGGTATGATCGCCGATTATGAAGTAATTAGCCAATAACACTTTGGCCCGTCTTGGCCCGGCCCGGCCCGACTTTTAGGCAATGCCGTGTTGTACTCACCCTGCATCAGGGGCGGACGTGCCCGGATCCCCCCGGTTTAGGCAGGTGTCGGAGTATATAACCTTGTGGAAACATCCAGGAAGTAAATTGTGTGCAGTGTAAGGTACAGCATGTGGCAATCTGCACAGTGCCTTTGGAACAGATAACGCAGCCTCGTGTTTGCCTTGTCCCACGTACAGCGGGTGCATGGGGTGTTGTTGTTTACAGTTATCATAGGGCTCAACATCAGGCTGTCAATCAGTTCATAATGCCCTAGAATATTCCATCTTAACGTGCATTGTTTTACTGTGCGGGTTTGTATTATATCCGAGAGTGTATATGTTTATGACTAATAGATCTACATATGTATCAAAACTTAAGAAATGTCTTTGTTTGTATCTTACGTAAACTTTTGGACTGTTCTCCTAAAGAGTGCACAGCATCTCCAAACATGATTCTCTTCTCCTTCCTTTGGGAGCTGCTGGTGGCATTTGGTGAACTAAACATTGCAAGTGGAGACGCAACATCCCCATCGCCATTTATTCCCTTTTATTCTTCCCCGCCCTGAAGGCGGGGAAGTATACGGGAAACGTTAATTTTGTAGCATGTATATCGACATATTGGTTTATTTGAAATTTCAAGCCACGCATTTAAGGGAAACAAAACATACAAATCATGTGCGTGGAATGTTGATGCTATTCTTTTCCAGTAATAAGAGATACTTCAAAATCGTCTTTATGTAGTTAATTGATGCATCTGACCGTTTCTGGTCATTAGCTGACATTATTAAACCAATCATGTGTAATCCGATGTCCGTTTTTCCTCAAGGACTAATTTTCTTATTTTCACGGTGTATACAAAAGAAGAACTGTACTCGGGAGATCGTAAATAACAGCATAATATAAAATATGTTCTGAATATGCTTATTCATGAACAAAGACGAGATCTCAATTTAAATGTAATATGGCTGAATTCCACATTCTACATACCACACTTTTGATTGTTTGGATGCTCATGTTCCCTGGAAATAATTGGAATATATATATATCCCGTGTTTTGAATTAACCCAGTTCCCCGTGTTTTTTTTAATCAGTGCACCGCACGAAGCCACATGTGAAACGTTTCGTAGCAAAGTCAAAGCAAAATCGGAGTAGTGTGTCGGCGAATTTGCATCAAGGCTGTAGTATTTTTCAACCGTTTAATTGAATTCAATGTACAGCCGTAGCTCTGGTCGCTATCATATATTTTGTGTCCCATAGCTCAAATCTATTTGCGTCTGATCCCAATTCCGTGGATCGATGCTCATGATATTAATCACTGGATTGTCTGGTCCAGACTCGATTATTTACAGAACGCCGTCATATAGCTTGAATATTGCTGAGTGTGGTGTTAAACGACAAACCAATCAATCATCATCATATGAACTCAAACCAGTCATTGTTACAAGTAAACCTCATTCCACAACAGTTACTGACACTGGATAAAAAACAGTACATAGAAAAAGACCAAGTACCTCACCTCATCATGATCAAAATTACTATTCTTGGAATATTGCTGAGTGCGGCGTTAAACAACAAACCAACAACAACAACAACTACTATTCTTTGGAAGAAAGAAATACAAAAAGAGACTGACCAAAAACGTAAAACAAGATACCAGGAATCTCCGTTATTGATTACTTCCAGTATTGAAATGTTCTCCAACTACGTGAAAATATTTTGAGTATGTGCATCTGTGGTTGTGACAAAAAGACCTTATCTAGTATGATTTTTTTGCCATATGGAGCCCTTAGTATTTTCATTTACATTATTATAACCAAATGCCAAGTGTAAAAAGAATGTGATCTATTATTTGAGTATGTGCATCTGCCAATGTTGTTGGCAGTTTTGATACTATTTCCACATGTTTACATTTGTGCCAGAAATTGCTTCCATTTCCTTCGATCTACTTTTAAAATAAAGACCCAGGTTAGAATAGGTCTTCAGCAACCCATGCTTGCCGTAAGAGGCGACGAACAGGATTGGGTAGTCAGGCTCGCCGATTTGGTCGATGCATAACATCATATTCCAATTGCGTAGTTCGATGCTCGTGGTGTCAATCACTGGATTATCTGGTCCAGACTCGATTATTTACAGACTGCCCTCATATAGCTGGAATACTGCTGAGTGCGGCGTTAATCAACAAACCAACCAACCAACCAACCATCATAGTTAGGCTTTTCAGCTACCCCTTGTATATTCTCACCCTATACCTATTATTAAATAGACCTACCCTATGCAAATGTATCAACTGTATTGCCCAATACTCAAAATAAATAATATTTATTTCCACAACAGCGTGGTGTAATTTGTGGTTAATATAATTATGCTCCTTCATTCCTTTCAGTAACATCATAATTATGCATTTGTGAGGCATCACATATGGCGGGGAACTTTGATGCTCTGCATCAGTGTTTTCTTGTCTACTTTCACCTTATCCTCGTTGTGTCGCAAGCTGCCAGGAATTCGATGTTTAGAGACCAGTCAGGTCAAACAGGCTCTAATCTCTCTCCTGTCTTCTACTGAAACTGTCCTATCCAGAAGTGCGCAGAAAGATCATCGTCTACCAAGCACATATAATTAAGTTTTCGTTGTGTTCATTGTAATTATTGCATTCTGATTAGCTGCATCTGTCACGTGTTATGGCATTCATTTGCCAATGAATGTAAAAAATAAGCCATGCCCACCGAGGCGGACTACTTTCATTGCAACGGAATGTCGGGGAATCCCAATATTACAGTTGAGGGAATCCCCCTTCTTCTCACGTGTATCGTCATGCACTGGACTCTTTGCACCTGGAATGTGTATCATTTTTGTCTGCTTTGATATATGAAACTGTTATTGGTTAAAATATTGTAGATTGTGTTTTTGTTGTCGAATTTAATTACAAGGATTTACTGTCAATCCTTAAGTAACCAACAAGGGGAGGTAACTCTAAGTAAAATACCCTTCTGCAAAACTCCATTCACTGCTGTTGAGTGTGTTCAAACCTGGCCACGACAACACTTGCAGTGTTTTTTTCACCAGTGGGTCCGTCATTTGCTACCAGTAGAATATACCACAAACATATTTACACCAGTTTCTACTGCCAACAAATTTATGTACGCATAACAGTACACAATCGAATTCTTCATAAACCAGCACCATGTTTTACACTTAGAAATTTTTTACAGGCACACATTTGGACCAATTCAATTGCCTTGAACTCGTTGAAATCACGGACCTATGATCCATATAACAAAATTGAATTTTAAAAATTATCAAATATCTTAAAGAAGGTTTTGAATACAAAAACCCTAACAATATCTTCTCTGCTCAGGTTGCTGCATTCCTGGCATAACGATTCCACGAGAGTCTAATGGTACATGTCATTCTTTCACATTTGCTCTCCAGAACCACGGGGGCATGGGTGGGAGGTCGTCAAAGGCGCCGCAGTTCGATGTGCAGGGTTGTGCGTCATGGTGCTGTGCGTAATTGTGATAGAGGTCAGATCCTCAACAGTCGTCATGATGATAGAGGTCAGATCCTTAACAGTCGTCATGGTGATAGAGGTCAGATCCCCAACTGTCGTCATGGTGATAGAGGCCAGATCCCGTACAGTCATCATGGTGGTAGAGGTCAGATCCTGTACATTCGTCATAGTGATAGAGGTCAGATCCTGTACAGTCGTCATGGTGATAGAGGTCAGATCCTCTATAGTTATCATGGTGGTAGAGGTCACATCCTCTGCAGTCGTTATGGTGATAGAGGTCAGATCATCTACAGTCGTCATGGTGACAGAGGTTAGTTCCTTTATGGTCGTCATAGTAATAGAGGTCGGGTCCTCTACAGTCGCCATAGTGATGGAGGTCAGTTCCTTTTTGGTAGTCATGGTAATAGAGGTCGGGTCCTCTTTAGTCGTCGTGATACCACAGGGTCAGATCTGGATACTCGTACATAGTATGTCTGTCAAGGTGGGCTAAAATGTCTAGTGTTTCCTTTGAAAGAATTCCGACCGTACCTACAGTTGGCACTATTGCCATATTGTCATAGCGACTGATTTAAGACAACCATTGTCTGAATGAACATTTAATTGCAAAAGCCAATTATCCTGTAGACATTACATGTATATATCTCCATAATGTAATTTCCATTATTTATAAGACGTTAATCCCCGTTGTTAATCCTCACTAACATTTCTAACAAACTAAACGACGAAATTTGTCATTTGTCACAAGCTATTAATGTGAAAAGTTTGGTACAAAATTGAATGTATTGTCGAGGACTTTGAATTCAGATTAGGGATATTCTTGGGTAATTAAGTATTAAGTTATTAACAGCACAGCAGTATTCAACATTTCAGAGTTTTGATGTCGGAATTAAGGATTATTTTTTTCTTGGGCATAACACCAACAATATCTGGACAAGCTCCGTCATAGACACGGGGAGAGCGGTAAAGTTAGACCCCTGGTTTTTCAATTTCTTTATGTTTAATTTGTACTTTTTATGACATAACTCATTATCATTATCATTATTCGGGACTGAGTCGCACCACCAAGCCAGACTCCGGAATTCAAAGACCTTCCTTCAGTGATATAAACACATGCACAAAAGTTAAGCGCCACCATATTCATAGTCTCTTGTTTTCACGTGTGGGAATCAGAAATACGAAATATGATGATGTATGACTGAATTAGGCTTCCGTAGTTTTATGAACCCAAATTAGTCCAGATACCACAAGGAAAGCGTGCTTTACGTGTTGCTGCAGTTCCCCTACCCTATAAATAGTGAAATTCAAGTTTCAGACACGTGGTTGCATTTTGCTCCTGTGTGAGATTCCCCTTCCAATAGAGGTTGAAAATCAGCCATGGTGAGGAGAAAGTTAACGAACGCTGAAAGATGGCAAGTGATAGGCATGAAAAATGCTGTCATGTCATGCAGGGCCATTGCAAGACAAATGAGTTGTCATCACAGTGTTATCACTCGTTTGATTGTCAAACATGGTCAAACCAATGATGTCAATGACAGGCATAGGTCTGGTAGGCCAAGAAAGACCTCTAACAGAGAGGATAGACGTCTTTTCAGGATAGTCAGACGAAATCCATTTGCCACTTCAACAGATTTAAGACTGCAGTGGATTACCCATCAGAGGCTCTCGACGATGACCGTAAGGCGTCGCCTCAGAGCGGCTGGTTATAACTACAGAAGACCAGTAAAACGTCCTCAATTGACTGAGAGGCACATGCGGAATCGTCTGATATGGTGTCGTGCCCGTAGTCGATGGAACCTGGCCAACTGGAGAAGGATCAATTGGTCTGACGAGTGTCGAATGCTGCTACGAACTGTTGATGGTCGGATACGTGTTTGGAGGCAACGTAACACTCGTTTTGCACCAAGGAACACCCAGAAGACCTTAGCATGTGGCGGGGGGTCTGTCATGATATGGGGTTGTGTTTCCTTCAGCTGAAAACTTCCGCTGGTGACAATTCGTGGAAACCTGAATGGCCAACGATACCAAGATGCCGTTCTTCGTCCAGTGGTAGTCCCTCATTTTGATAACCATCCTCTTCAGACAAGACCTGTTTACATTGACGACAATGCTAGATCACACAGATCTCGGGCAGTTTTGGCTTATTTGCGTCAAGAAGCTATTGCCACTCTTCCTTGGCCGGCCTGTAGTCCGACTCTTAATCTGATTGAGCCTCTCTGGGACATTCTTGGCCGGAAAATCAGACATCTTGATCCCCCAGTTCAAAATCTCGCTGGACTTGAAGCCGCACTTCATGAAGAATGGATCCGTTTGCCTCAGAGAAGCATTTAACGACTTGTAATGAGTATGGGGCGTAGGGTTGAAGTTGTGGTCAATGTCCGTGGATCATACACACGTTACTGACGTTTCTGTCTTGCAATAGACTCTGCACCCTCTAGGGTGTCTATGTGACACCTGATATGGTCTGCTGATATCATGACAGTTACATGACAAAAAAAGTTTTTCAATGTTTTCTAATCCTTCAATTTCTGGTCTTCGGTAAAATTCCTTTCTGCTCATATTCTTTTGGAACACAAGATAAACTTGCTTTGGGACAACTTTTGCATCACATGAGGTTTAGATATACGGCTTATAACAATCGTACATCTCGTGATAATAGTCATCATTAAGTGCCAAAAGTAACAGCTCACAAATATGATGGGTGGCGCTTAACTTTTGTGCATGTGTATATTTATTGAATATGTGCAAAGTGGTAAGTACCTTGAAATTGAACATAACAAAGATCACTTGGTTAGTTTTCAAACTGGCACTGAATCAAACAGGCTAGATGATCACTTTCATACCGTCATTGCATAGATAAATTTGTTGCACCACGATTTCAACCATATCATGAACTGATATGAACTGAACATGTACTCATTTGCACTGTTGTTTCCGTTGATGAAAAAGTTCAGACATATCTGGACAATTTGGACCACGTCAACATGCCCGTTGACATCTGGTGGAGAATCCGGCTGGAGTAACTCTTGAGTTTACTCCCGATCCAGTAAACTCTCTATATGCCTACCACCCCGAAGAGCAATCATCAACTCAAGTCATGAAGAGGAAAGAAACAAGATTGAAGACAACAACAAGAATCTCTCCAATGCCAACTTCCTGATGGAATTTTCAATTCAAGGTTCCGTTCCTACACAGGACCAAAGGCCTATACACGCCTATCCCACAGAGATCCGACCACAGCCATCATCATGCAGACCCTGCACCATATAGAAACCGCTTCGCGGGCACCTACAGGTGGGACATTGTGTACAAGATATCTCATTAGGACTTACCAGTTTGTGTGAACTTACATGGACTCAATTTAGAATACATCATGAGTGACTGTTTGTATGTGCAACCAGGTATGTTTGATCATTTCAGAATATTTTTGCTTAAATGTGTCTTTCCAAAACTAATTTAGGTATGTGCGCAATACACTCCAAATTACATCTTTAGTCAAGCTAAATTTCTGAAGTTATTGTGTAGGGAATGTTTGAAATGTCCCCAGGCCACGCCAGACATATGGTTGAAGCAAGGGCCCAGACAAACCTAGGCTGTAGGGTTATCGAGTCACATTTTATAGCTAGACTCGTAATTTCAAAAACCTAAACGACGAAATTTGTCATTTGTTACAAGTTATTAATGTGCACAGTTTGGTACAAAATTGAATGTATTGTCGAGGACTTTGAATTCAGATTAGGGATATTCTAGGGTAAGCCACCCCCACACATATGTGTATTGTATGTCAGTATTTAGTTATTAACAGCACAGCAGTATTCAGCATTTCAGAGTGTTGATGTTCAGAATTAAAGATTATTTTTTTCTTGGGCATAACACCCACAATATCTGGACAAGCTCCGTCAAAGACCCTGGAAGAGCACCCATTGTACTTAAAAGGGTAAAGGTACCAACACGTTGAGTCGCGCTGTAAAGTTAGACTCCTGGTTTCAGCTTTCTTTATGCCAAACATTTGCTGAGATGTTTAATTTGTACTTTTTATGACATAACTCATTATCATTATCATTATTCGGTACTGAGTCGCAACGCCAAGCCAGACTCATGAATTCAAAGAACCTTCCTTCAGTGATATAAACTGACGTCCAAAAGAAACTTTACCAACTGAAAATATAAATTTCAGACTAAGTATAATTTTTTTTCCGATGAAGTCTATCTAAAACACATAACCTAAATACTACAATAGTGTATGCAGAAAATGTTAATCGTCTGTTACATGTTTGCGAGATAACTCGCGAAAATGTGAAAAACACGTGCACCACGGACAACTGCATATGCCCGTGCGGGTACGGGTATAAAACGATTGCAACGGCAAGTCAGACATCCACAGTGATAAAAAAAACAGAATAGAAATGCCACGACTCACAGTCGAACAACGTGAACGAGCCTTGGGTATGGTACAGATGGGATCAGCCCACGCCCATATTGCACGAACCTTCGGTTGCTCCCGTGTTGCCGTTACCAACTTGATGCAACGTTACAGACAGACAGGGCGGACCGCTGACAGGCCTAGGAACAGGCAGACCCAGGGGGACCACGCCCCATGATGACCGGTACTTGCGTACCTTGCACCTCCGAAATCGCTTCCTGACAGTGACGTCATCGGCGACAAATACCTTAGGTCACAGGGTTAGTCGACAGACAGTGGCCAGGAGACTCAGGGCTCAAGGAATCAGGGCTTTTAGACCATACAGAGGACAGCTATTGACAGCGCAACATCGTCGACTGCGATTGAGATGGGCCCGGGTTGCACGACGTTGGCAACGATGTGACTGGCAGTGGGTTGTCTTCACTGACGAAAGTCGATTCTGTATGTTTAGGGCTCCAGCCAACCGGCAAGAACTGATCTTGGCCCTCCAAGAAGAATGGCGTAAAATCCAACGTGACCTCATTAGACGACCGACTTTTTCTGTGTGTCGAAGAGTTTTTGCGTGTATTGAGGCATTTGGTGGTCACACACGCTACTAATGACTTGTTATTGAACGTGAGCGACTTTTTATGTACTCTGCCTATTGTCCATGATTCTGAAAGCTCGAGTTTTGTACCACACCCAACTTTGGGGGGCTCTGACGTCATTCTCGGTCGCGGTATGATTGACATTTTCAGTGTTGATTATGTTGATATATTGATCTTCTCAATCAATCTTTACTTCATGCATGTATGTTTTGTTGTTTTTAAAGCAAGAGTGATTTCAAACTCTGTTAAAGTTTCTTTTGGACGTCAGTTTATTTATTGAATATGTGCAAAGTGGAAATTACCTTGTAGTGAAGTTGCACATTACAAAGATCACTTGGTTAGTTTTCAAACTGGCACTAAATCAAACTGGCTAGATGATCACTTTCATACCG